GTGGTGCTTTACACCGCACAAATTCTAAGTTACGGTATATACAACGGCCAGGCACACTTTCGTTCGTTCTCTTGTGTTCGTTCTTTACCTTTCCTGAGGTAAGAGTGCGGGCTCATTTCTGAACAGCGGTTGGTAATCTAACCTATACAACATCGAAACAAATGAAAGAGCAACTTAAATTCTTTACAAAAACCCAGATACATTTTCCCACGAAAACGGAACTTATCTCTTACGGTCTTTCGAGGATTAATTAGAAAACGCCGGCTTTTCGCTCTTTTAATCGACGACAAACAATTTATCATTTTTTGAAGTAAATGATAAACGTTTGATGTATTGTCTGGGCCTTGCAAATTAAAAGCAGTCAGGAATTAAGCACGTAAGCCTGATTAAAATTACTTTCTTTCCGGCTTTTCTCCTGATTACCTTGGACATGAGTTTTCTAAATCACAATAAATTTAATTTTCAAAGGTTTGATATGTTGTTTTACATAAACGTACGGGAAGAGTGACAACCAATGATAGCCAAACTTCTCATTCTTCAGTTACTAATAATAACGAACGTTTACGCTGTCGTGAAACAATCCGACTAAGATCCCAAGTTTTTGGTAATAGTACCTGTTGCTTAGACACAGTTGTTAAATAATTACGCAGTAAAAAGCCATTTTGGATCCACAAAATGTAAACACTCTCAGTAGTTTTAATATCATGAGCCAAATCATTTTTGCTTCAAATTTTATTTGCGACTATCTTCCAAAGCTGACCGATGCACTTTGCCACAGTAGCCTTCGCACCGAGGTAAATACCGTAGTACTGTTGTAATTTATTCTTTCTATCAGGAAGTTTAATGTGATATTTATGTTGCTGGCAATTGAAGATAACACTTTCATTTGCTTGTTTACATCACGGAGAGTTTTACGGCCACCCATCCAAGTACAATCCCCCGTCCAAACGGCTAAACTTTAACTTATTAGATGTTGGACATGCAAGGAAAAAGGATTAGCTAAATTTTGTTTAGCTTACCATGGACACCCAAATACTAGGGTACTAGGATAAATTATAAAATTTAAGCTTTCCATGATCTTCAAACAGCAGACATTTTCAATATTCCAGGTTTACTTGATATGTGTCCGTCATTTCCATACATCTCAAAACGAAGATACTCACTTAACAAACAAAAAGCTCAGTGCTAAAATCTAATCCACAGAGGAATTAAGAAAACACTCCCAAAACTGAAGAACAATTAGCATTTGACGCAAATTTCTTCAATTCAAAAGAAAGTCTTCTACGCATTCCATAGCCTTCCTAAAGAAACAGCCTTCTTATCAATTTTACAAGATATCAAAACTCTTTAATTCATAACTTCACAGGTTATTTCACTCTGTTTACATTGTTGTGGATAGGTAACCTGTTTCACTCCAACACCGACTTTGCTTGGGTGAGTTGTTTACTAAATATTTCGCCCGAATTGAAAGCGGCACACTGCACATCTCTGTAAATGCCGAAAGAATACAAGTTTTGGCATTGTCATTAGTTAACTTAACTATTAAAATGTAGATGATGTTTTGTCGTGAGAAGGAAAATCGAAGGTTGGTTAGTGACGAAAGTACCATTTATTTCACAACAGGCTAGCAAAATATTAAAAGTTTTAGAATAAAAAAAAGATACTTTCGGCGCCTTGAATTATATTACCGAAACTAAATGATAATCGGAAAACTACTACACAAGATTAAATTTTCCATAGGATTCAGATAAATAACTGAGCGCTATATTACCTTCGTTCGAACCGGCTTTTAAAGGATACGTATACATACAACTATAGTCACCGATCATAAAGTCTTTCAATTTTTGTCATTTCTGTATAACCCCTTGTAGCAATGGCTATTATGAAAAAATTAATCAGGAACTCAGCAGGGAGTCAACTTCAATTTCAAATCTAACATATTTATAATGATCCTCTGTGGTGTATGGACGTCCTGTATGGTAAAGTTCTGCCCACACAGATTTTCTCTCTTTTCCTAAGTCGTCGCCAGAACTCATGTCGTTTCACTGTAACATCTAAAGTTTAAACAGAAGGAAACCTTGTTACAGTTGTTGTTGAAAAGATTACATTGTTGACCAAGTTAACTTAACTAAAAGGCAAGTATCCGTTCAGCTGTTTTCATTTATTTTGGAATCATGACACGATTCAAACCAACATTAGTTATTCGTACCTTGACCCCAGAGTTCAATAAGTGGAGTTTTGAAATATTAGCGAAAAGGTCCGTGGCACATGCTGTATTGAAGTATCGAAGACCTTTTTGACGAAAAATTTTTCAGTACGTACGAGATGTTGTGTACTTATTTTAATCAAAAGTCAATGAGTTATGAAATATTAATTTGCCAGAAATGCATTCATTGAAATGGGAAGACATCTAAATCATATAATTAAGGCGCACTTAATCAGAGACTACTTTTCGAGATAAAAGGCATCAAAATAATCAGAACAATTGAACAGAAGGAAATTGAGTGCGTGAACGAAACAAATCGTGACTTTCGCCTTAAACGTTTTGCCCACGATCTGTTACGTAGGGTAACCATCCATTGGATGTTTACAGTTTCAAAAAGCCGCAAAATATCCGCAACACAAAACCACTGATACGTAGACATTTTAGACAAAGTTGCCCAATTTTGGGAGTTGCTGTTACGCAATTTATGATTTATGGAGATTTTATGGGAAATTCACTTACACCTTAAATATGGTGAAATAAGCAGTGGTCGTGGTATAAAAGAATTACCAACTGTACAGTCTCCTTTTTCGATGAATCTTTGAGGTAGTTAAGACGTCATCGATGTTCACTTTAAACAGTTTCTGCCATCACCTTGAGTTCGTCTTCCGAACTGGAGAGGAGTGAAGGCTCATTTCCTAAACGAACAACAGCTGGTTGTCAAATCTGTCAATCCTCATTGCAAAGGAAACGCAACGATATGAAGCGATTTCAAAAGTAAAAAAAAAAAGTTTTTCAAGTGACCACTGATTTGACCCAAACAAAAGTAAAAAATTGTAGACTAGACTAGTCTGAAGGCATCGTTCATTATTTGCACATTTGAAGCTAATCGGGGTACAACTTGATTCGTAAATCGAACATTGCGTAACAAGTTCTGGATTGCATATTTTCAAAGTAAATCTTCACGTAACCAGCTTGGGATTCTTGAGCTCTGTGTTAATTCTGCCCTTCGATTCTTTATTTTATGTCAAAATGTTTTAGTCTTCATTCGATTCTTGCCATGTCTGGATCCTGACAACTTCTATCATTTTTTACTTCATTTCTTAAATTGGAGTGGCCTTGCTATGTCTTTGACCTGCAATCCATGATTGGAACTTCCCCAAAATCAATTAAAAAACATGAGAAAGCCAGATTCTAATCATAGATTGTGAAAACGAGTTATCTGTTGCTAAGTTCCGTAATGAGATCACACACTTATCGCTACATCGTCGTAATCTCAGCAATCTGCTTGACCTGCAGGGGTTAAGCTGAGAATGAAAAATACTTACTAAACAATAAAAGCACGGATATTTACACGATTGATGTGATAACTGCAAACAAAGAAACTACTTCATTAACAAATTTTGCGATTCATTGAAAGCAAAGTGTTTTCTTCACTATTCCTAACAACCTCGTAGGGTTATGGTTCTGGTGTATTCTAACTCGAGGACAATTCGAGCACAGCCTTGAATTTTTTTTTTGGCATGTGGTGTATTTTGCTGTTACTCGGCGTTTTCAAAGGTAGGCGATAACACACTTAGCGAGTACAAAGAATTTTTCATTGTATAACACTGATAGTTCGCTGGCATATTGTTTCTCGGGAACTACCTGGAGTTCTGCATTGAATATCACTGCATGTCCATAGGCGAACTGTTTATTTTGGCCCCCATCACGATTTAGTACGAAAACAAAATTAATAAATCCTGACTGGTAAATATTTGAACTTTGGGCTCGCAAATGATAGACGATTTTAGGACGAATAAGAGCTGTCAATTGGACTATAAGACGAGGTTGTAGTTTTATTTCTTACATTGCTTTAAGTTTGACGTAGAAAAGATAACCAAACTTTGTTACAAAAATAGATCCTCTTAGGTCCTCTGAGATCAAAATATTTATTCATTAACGTGAACACTTTCATAAAGACACATGCTAAGCTGTCGTTATGTGATGCATTTTTTGGTTTGATAAACGTAAGTAAATATTTATTGGGAGTATTACACAACATGTGCATTGCCAATAGAAAGACAACACAATTTGACAGGTGAATGTTCAACTTTGACAGAGTTGCATATTTAAGCTACAGAGCACGAACGGAATTAAAAGAGAGAAGGGAAAAGATGAAACGAAAACAAAAGTAGACCTCTTTCTTAGCTTACAGAAATTTAAATCCAATGACTTCTGCTCTGTCCACTTTAAAATTCCTCAGTTCTCTGTATAAAGGCGCTCTAGGTGAACCGCGACCACAGTTTGTTCCCTGAAGCTATGAAAAGGTGATGATAATTATTCAAGTTTACAAAGGCTCTCTAAAACAGATATAAAACATTAGATCGATACGGAAAAAGTTCGATTTCTTTTAAAGCAAAATTAATCTTTAACTCAAGCCCTTCAGATCAAACAGAGTCGATCGTGAAACTTGCAACCAATTGAGATAAATTTATCTGTGACAACGTGCCGAATTCTAATCATATCCTATGTCGTCCGGTTCAAACATATTGGAAGGATTCAAGTTATTTAAATTTTCCGTATTACTTAATTATAAACCCAACCCAATAGCATTTCATGTCTCATAGACCACGTTTAGACGCCATGAAACGACTATATCTAATTTACGAGTTTACTCAAAGTAGTGTAACCGACCGGAGAAATCGGGAGACCGATATCTCAGTCAAATTTCATTTCCTGTACGTAAAAATGACAAAGATGACGTTTGGGAAATTTTCATGACATTCAATTCTATTTTGCTAAATTTCTTTTACAGTGGTTCTTTATCGGTCCAGGTGTCGAGTTGTTTCGAGGCGTTGGATATAAACAAACAGCTCAACTCATACAAACTTGTGGGAGATCACATTGTGCGAAGAACTTCTTGCCAACCAAATCGGTAACAGCGCTGTTGTGAACATGGTTTTCGCCTCCGATATCGATTTGGCAGGGCTTATAGGTGTCGGATTTCAAACCCTAATTTAGAAGTAAAAGTTACAGGAAACAAATTTAACACCCTGAGAAAGGAAGCGAACATTTGGACGACTCACGGTGTAACCATAGAGACGACCTATCACCGAATTTTTTGGAGAATATTTGACGCAAATCCGAGGATGTTTTAAGAGTATTCGCGGTTCCGTTCGTCGAGGTTGGAAGTCTCGCTTAACAGAGAGAAAACAAACACGAACTTGAACATCGATAACAAAGGTGTTTCACTGTGAAATTAGTGACGGTAAATCGGAATTCGTGCACAGCTTTGGCGATGGTCTAAGCAATATGAAGAATGGGGCGCCGAGATAAAATCGTGTAAACTTTTCGCTGAATCAATCGATCGCTATAGAGAATTGAGTTTGACAGCTATTCAACAGTATTTTGACGCTAAATGCTTGACAATCAGTTGAACAATACAACAGGCTGTATGAAAGCAGCCGCGATGTCTTCTGAGGACTCGCGTTCGCCAGTGGCCATCGCCATACAGGCTGCCTTCATGCTCATCATAATTCTTTCTTCCCTGGTGGGCAACACACTAATTGTGCTCGCCATGTATCGAAATATCAGCCTTCGAAGCATCACCAGTGTGTTCATAGCAAATCTTGCTATGGCGGACTTTCTTCTGGCCCTTCTGGGAATGCCATTCACCATGGCTTCGTCCATCACGTACGACTGGGTTTTCGGGAAAGTATGGTGCACCATAAACGGCATGTTCAACTCTATCTTTTGCATCGCTTCAATGCTCTCTCTTGCAGCAGTATCCATTGACCGATACGTTGCAATCATCAAGCCACTTCAGTATCCTTTGATAATGACCTCCCGCCTTGCCTTCTGTATGATATCATATGTTTGGTTCCACGCAATCATTCTCTCCTTTTTGCCCGTTTTTGGCTGGTCCACGTACATCTACATTGCAAACGAGTCGATCTGCACTGCAAACTGGGGGTTAGACATCCCTTACACCTTATTTATCTTTGCGTCGAGTTTTTTTGCTCCATTTATGGTGATGGCTTATTGCTATTATCATATTCTTCGTGCGGCGAGAAGGCAATCCAAGACAATTGTTCCACGTGTCGGAGAACTTAAAGATGAGACACTGCAAACGATGGTGGCTGTACCGGTGGCTTTTGGAACTGAAAAGGGAAAAGTTTCGGATCCTCCGTCTTCAGCCGCGGATAAAGCCAAAGAAAGGGAGGCAAAGGAGAAGTTTAACAGAGAAACACGGGCCGCGAAAACGCTTCTAATAGTGATGGGCACCTTCTTTTTTTGCTGGGCACCTCACTTTATTGGAATGATTTGTTTACTTTTTCCAAGCTGCAATTGGCCTGATGCTTTCTTTGCGACTACAACATGGCTGGCTATGTTGAACAGCGGGTGCAATCCAATTATTTATGGCGTGATGAACAAAAAATTCAGACAGAGTTTCAAAGATATACTTATGTGTCGGAAAAGAACTAACAGGAACTATAGTCATAGGGAGATGAGTAGTTCTTCGTGACTGTTGTTCGTCGGCTATTCATGCCAAGCAAGGAGTTTGTCGATCACACACTCAAATAAAAATGGGAGCAAAACCTTTGCAGGTTATTCGATACTGTATACCCCTTTCGGTTTCGTGTGTATTCTGGTTGTTATGACAGGTGTCGTAACTTGAGTATCAGGAAAAAAAAAAAACCTTTCTGGTAAAGACCGATGAAAATTTGTCTACACTTACTAAAGTTAGCTTTGTTGACAGAAGATAATTCGGCTTATCATCAGAGGAAAGGAGATTTTTCCACGACAATGGAGTTTTACTCCAGTCCGGAGACGGATACTGAGGCAAGCATAAATAAGTAGAATCTTTGCCGAAGGCTAAGCTTAAAAATTAGGCATTGAAAGTCACATTTGCATACAATGTTGTTAGCCTTTGTCTGATTAACAGTAAAGCCTTTCAGCATGTGTCTAATAACAGAAAAAAAAAACTCTCGAGGACCACCGGTTCTCCAAGGGAAAGTCAATTTCGCAAGGAAGAAAAAAAAATTGTTGACTCCTTATCGTGTTCTTCATTTTCCCTTTTCGCAATTTCCGGAAAATTACAGTTCTCTTCAAGAATGACGATATTTTTTAATTGAGGTCGAGAGAGGAAGAAGAAGATTCGGTCGTTGCCTGCGGAGCATATCTGGACGAAGATAGAAATAACCACAAGTGGATTTGAATTGCCAACTGTCACTTAAAGAGTCATTAGTGTAGAGAATGGCCCCGAAAGGTAAAACGCTTGGGGCAATTTGACTAATTTCAAGTCTTTCCTGAGCAAATAAAATTTATCGTTATAATGCTTAAATTAAAATTGCTATGAATGTAAAAAAAAAAATTGGTTTTCTTCTTCGTGAATACCCGGTTAGAAATAATTTACATGGCCCAACTACAAGTCGGGTGATACACTAAAGAGGTTTTGTTGACCTGCGATCGTATCAGTTCAGAAGAATTTCTCCTCAAGTAAAACTTCTTTATGGCATGTGGCACACCAAATATTACTGCGACTTTTTCCTTGTTTCCTATTCATTTGATATCGAACAGCAGGGTTTACGAGTCAAATCCAAACCTTGAAATTCTATGACAATTATAGAAACCATGCATCAGGGAAGCGACCTAAGAACATGATACTCGATGTTGAAGAGCAATAAATGCGCAAACACAATATATCTTATTTCTAAAACGTTGGGTTATAGTTTACATCTAGGTGTGGGGAAAACCAAACTTGGCGCCCAACTGTCTGTCCGCAGGTGAAAGACCCAAACCACGTTTTCCAAATACAAGAACCTAAACAATCAACACAGTTACCATAAAATTCCCAATATAAGGACAATGGCGCACCTATCGATTTGGCAACAAAAGTACAAAACATTGTAAGCTGTTGCCTTCGAAAATTATGACGAAAGCATTTTAGTTACAATAGTGCGTGTAATTTTGAAAAAAAATCACAACGGAGGGTTCGCTTCCAAAACAGAAAGAAAGAGCAAAACAAAACAAACACAAGTGGAGGGACGGTAGTCAAGATGAACAACATCGAAGATTTTAAGGAAAATCTTTCAGGCGATAGAAACTGTGAATAACGACATAAAATTGAACGAACGTATCGATTTTGAAGTCTCAGTAGAATAATTCGAAATGGGAAAGGCGCTAAGGTTTTCCTCCTACGCCTAGATTGCAACACCCTCCGTCTCCGAAATTACCCGCGACAATATTTTCCTTCTGACGAAGGGCTAACGCTTGAAACTTCAGCTTTGAAACTCTTTACGGTGGCCAATTTACGTTATCAACTTAGTTGATAATGCTAAATTACCCTGTTATACTCTCCCACCGACGCAGCACCACAGTTTCTTTAGAAACTTACCCCTTTATTCATTTACCTTTGACAATTAACAAGACAACTGCATAGTTCTGAGACTGGGTAAGATTTACCATCCTATAAAAAGCAACGTCGGATTACTTTCCTCTCGTTTAAAAATATCACCCTGTTTTGCCGACTCTCAGAACAATTGATACGAGGACTTTTGAAATAGGTTAGGAAAAAAAAAACAACACAAGGCACGTTTTGCATAAGATTTTATCCTCCAATTTTCTTTGATATCAGATTAGACCTCTTGAAGATAAGTTTTTAAGACATTTAACGCCCTACGCTGAGGGAATTTGTTACTTTAGTAAAGCTTTTCTGTGCGTCACAAAATAAATCTGATTTAGTTTATTCTGTCAAGACTAATCAATTTATCTCATTCATCAGCACTATAAGAAGACCGATCAGAGAGGTTTGTTTCCCTCACCACGCGATAAAATAAATTACGATGCTTGAAAACTCAGAGGAAAACGAATTAGCCATTCATTACGATGGCGTCCTGTTAAACTTCATAACGAGAAATAGTGGAATAATTCTGAGTTATTTTCATTGCGTGCTTCGTACACGTAAATCTAGAAAGGATATCATATCACAAACGCACGTAGATGCACTCCTTGAGCTAATTTTTCCAATTCCCTTATCAGATTAACTGCGATTACTCCAAAATAGAACCTAAGATACCTAAGATAATATTTCAGGTAACAATTATTAGGCCTATCACAAAGTTATCTCTTCCTTCCCCACTTTCCAAAGTCTCCTAATGGGAAATATCTGAGTTGTAAATCAGAATTATCTTGTTTGTCGAAGGAATACACCAAACAATTAGCGGGGAGTCATGTAGAGATTGAAGATAAGACAAAAACCCATTAAGATATAAATCATGTAAATCAAACAATATCCGTGCCATTATTTACCGGAAAACAAATTTCATTATCCAAACCACAGAACATGTTCAAATAAAAATATCCTATTTGAAAGCAACGCACCTAGGCTACCCAATTTTCACGTCACGTACATAATCGTGTTTTTCCTTTTATTTTAATTTTTTATTTGTCATGACAAAAGTAAAGATCCTTGCGCTGATTTCTTCGGTTTAAACTTAATAATTTTCTGAGTTGCTACGATGAAATACTTTGTCTACATACAGATTACAAAATAAAAACAAAACAACAAAAAGCAAATCACAGGCTGACGTTGAGGCGCAAAACTTAACAAAGAAAACAATTTTTTTCCCAGAAAGGGATTTAATATGTTCGAAATGGGTTACAAGGTTCCTAAGCTGGTGTGTATTCAAATTCTCGACATTTTCTAAACAGATGATATTATTTAAGTTTGAAAAGGTCGAGGGTATAATCAAAACCCAGCGTTGACTTAATCCATAATAGCAACAGGATCAAACTGAATAATCCTTCTTGTACTCGGATGACACGCTACGATGTTGGACACGGATTCAAGAGTCACCTAGTTACCCACCTGCCCATAACAACCGTGCAAAATATTTTCACCTCTCAGCCTCAAGGTTCAATTAAATTAACCATAAAGTACTTTGTTCGGGCCAGACTAACAACTCAATTCAATTCACCATAACGTACTTTCTTCTCGTCAAAACATGCCGACGAGTGTCATAAACCAGACTTGAATCTCATCACATACAATTCACACAACAGCTAGAAAAATTCAGATTGTATTTGTTGTACATCTGAAATTCTCTTAGAAAAGCTTGTGCTTAGCAAAATGCAACATAAAGCATAATAAATACTCCTTAGTCATTGGCACAATTTTCTTCTGAAGCGTAGAGGTTTAAATTTCCTTATTTTGCCTTAGTCAGCAGTTTAACACGTGCACAATTTGTATCTCATCTGCCACCTACACCAGTGGTCGGAAGCATCCTTCAGTTTTTTATTTTCATCGGCCTTATAATATCACATAATCTTGCTGTTTGAGTTGTGCATCCTATCAATCCGCCTAATTGCCTTAAGATCAGTACAAGTCTGTGCAAATCTTTGAGCCCATTGAACAACACGAATTCCCAGTTCACGAAGGTCAACGCCATAAATAGGAAGACCATCTGAACATGCGCAAAGGTGTCCCATTATCAAAGCCGACTCCAGTGGAGAGGGAAATGAGAGATCCTGCAGAAAAAAAAATAAAAATAAATAAATATCTGGCAGACTAAACTCATCAGGGATGTGCCACAAACGTTCTCTATTATCATACTTATTTAAGAAAAAAATGGATGAAGGGACTGAAACACAAAATTCACGGCGGATGTACCGAACCCGACACTCAAATCAACACGCTTTTTTCCCCGCTGCTCTTAGGAACCGGTCATTATTTATGAGAAGGGGGGAGGAGAGGATGGGGATTGGAGCATGTTTTTTTTTTTTTTGCGTCACGATAAAATCTACCTGATCCCCCATAATATATTTTTAGGATTCATTCCCCCCTCCCCTCCCCTCCCCTCCTCTCCTCATTGGCAGTAAATTGGCAGTCAATATTCTCCAGTGCTTCCTCTATACTCTGTTGGCCACGACTAATGCCCCTCCGTCGTCTCCCCTCCCCCCCCTCCCCGGCTGTGATCTGTGATCTAAAAATAAGGAAAACGGCATAAGTTATGAAGAACATCGACCAGACTCAACGACATACAATAGTTACACAAAAAATTATAATGTCACAAACCTTAAATTCAAGCTCCTCGAGCTCGTTTAAGGCTCGCTTTTCCTCCTCTATTAGAAACGCTAAAGTCGTTTCATTGGTTATGTATCTTAAATCGACTGGAAGTTTTCCATCTGAGGTTGAGAGTTTACCAGCAGTTGCCTCACTCTCTGAAATCGCTCCAAGCCCCTTACGTGCAGTACTCATTTCTTCGTCTCTGTGTGCTTCCTCATCCCTCACACTTCCTGAAAGACCATCGCCTCTTGGCTCTTTCTCAGTCTCCTCCGGCCGTGACTCTGAGTAGACAGTATCACCAAAACCAAACTCTTCATTTGATGTGATCTGTGTAAACTCTCCAGGGTCAACTGAACTACCCCTGCAGGTTGTCTCGCTTGTTAGATCCCCTTCACCACGGCTCGGCAAAAAGCCTTGCGGTTGACTGGAATGAGTAAGATGATCACTTGATGTTTTAATTTTCTTCTTCTTTTGGCTTACTTTGCTGTCAGTAGAAATCGCCTCCATGAGCTGTCTTGATCTCTTCAGTAATATCGCTTTTCGAATGTCAGTGAGAATCTCTCTCAAACAGTTTATTTTCATGTGTTGTTCTGATAGCAGAAAAGTTTTCAAGTTTTCTAAAGTGGTCATCATGTCTTGTTTCCGAGCTCGATTACGTTTCGTCGATGATAACAGTTCCTTTAATTCATACGCTCCGCTGCCGACGACGTCACCGATAGTACCATAAACGCCCCTTTCGGTAACTGATTCGTCCTTATTAGTTCGGTTATATTCGGAAATCACCGAAGAGTTCTCGAACATATTTAACGCACATTTCTGTAACAATGTCTTTGAAGAGTCTAAAGTTAGTGGCGCTTCGTTAGAGGCATTAGACCCATTTTCGGCATTGCTTGTGCATTCCCCATTTTCGACTGTTATATTGTCATTGCAAGTGAAAATACTCAATACATCAGGGCATCTATACCAGATTTCAATCAGTATAGCCTTGTAGTAGTACGCAAGGAAATGCCGAAACAGTTCCTGTACGTCTTCCACCTTTTGTGGCTCATCAGAAGAATTTATATCCAAGTCTTGGCTCAAATGCTGCAAGTAGTTTAAAGATTCGCTCCCTTGTGGTAGCAACATGCAACACAATTGCCGTTGCAAGCCAAACAGGCAATTCTTGTTGCAATGAGAGAGCGCTTGCAACCAGTACTGACATGCCAGGTAAAGATTTCCGGTAATTGCCTTTAAGAGCCCAAGAGTGATCTCTAGGGAGATCTTGGCTAACATCTGCACAATAAAATACTACATTCAGTTCACGATAAAGGATATTTCCGAGATGGCCGAAGCCTCGTCGTTAAACGAGGTGAAGTGAGAGGCCTTTGATGCGAAATATTCTTCATTACTAAAAAATAATACTAGAGCGACTTTGCACCTGGCCAATTCAAAAAATTTGTACAAAAAAAAAAAAAGAAGAAGAAAAAAGAAAAAACCGAATAAAAAATTTCGTTCAGTGTAACTTTAAATAGGAAAGGGAGAGAGAGGCCAATTGAAAGTGCTGTAAGAGAGTTTTACCGGAAAAGTTAACTTATTTTTAAAAAAAAAAAAAATTTCTTTCAGCACTCAATGAATATAAATCAAGTACCATTAAAAAATACCTCAGGAATGGTATCAGCCCCAGTAGAGGTAGTTTCGTAGTAAGTTTTGATCGACTCACAAAGAACAGCAAATGATCCAGATTTTAATGCACCAGAAAGATGCCAGGCTTCTAAAACACACACAACAAACCACTTCCTGGGATGGTCATTAGCTATCCATGAAGACGTGCTGCAAGGGATATCGGTATATTTACCTGAAAGAATAAATGAGATGTTTTAAGAGTGGGGAATATTTCAAGAATTTCGAGACAATGAATGAATCCTAAAACGTCTAGTATTTAGAAAAAGTATTAGTATAGATGAGAACTGGAACATTCTAATAGGAAGATAACCAACAGAGGCGTTTATAGGATATAGAAATAGATTTCACTGAAAAAAAGGGAAGGGAAAATGAAAGAAAGAAAGAAAGAAAGAAAGGGATGGACAGGAAGAGATAGGAACAGAAGGGAAGGGGAGGAAAGGAAAGGAAAGGATCGGGAGTAAAGGGAAGGGAAGTGAAGGAAGGGAAATGGAAGGAAAAGGAACATAAGGGAAGAAAAGGGAAGGGGAGGGAAGAGTAGGGAGTGAAGGGGAGAGAAGTGTTGTATTGTATTTTTAACATTATAGTAAATAGTTCTTAAAGTATTTTAGAATAATATAAACACGATTCTTAGGAAGACCATGTAAAATGATATGATTTCGTGTATAAATAAAGATTGATGATGATGATGATGAGAAGTGAAGGGAAGTAAAGGGAGGGGAGGGGAAAAAGGAAGAAAATACTGGGAAGTGGCAGACATCTAAGTAAATATACCAAATTCAGATTTACGAAATTCAATCGAGAGGCTCTCTAATAAGCCAAAATTCACCTACCCCATGGTCCACTGATACTCGTGCAACTGCTTAGAATAGAACTTATGTGGGTACGTGTGCCATCTTCCAAAGCGTTATCGAGGTGGATTGTTTTCTCATCAGCAAGGGTCGCAAGCAAAAGCTCGTGAACACAAACATTAAACATGTGAGCCTAAAATAAAGTGAAAGAAGTGTGCAATCTAAAACTTTCATAAACTGCTAGATATTAAAGAAAGCAAAGTCCAAAAGTTTTATGTCAACTTAACCCTTTAACTCCCATGAGTGACCAAGACAGAATTTCTCTTTACAATATCAATACAATATCAACCAGATAAGTGATGAGAATAAAGAAAAATATCAATTTGGGGATAATTAGTTGATCCAATACCAAATTCTCTGAACTAACATTATAAGAATTGTATGGTTGACATTTAGGAGAAAGACAAATTTGATCTGGGAGTTAAGGGGTTAAGCGTCACAGAAGATTAGCTTTAACCTTTTCAATCCAAGGCTCGATTTCCGCCGCTCTCTCGTGTCCGGTCTTTTCTTACCCCCCCTCCCCCGAGAGAGGGAGGAGCGTGGGCTCATATTCCAGAACAGCGGTCGGTAATCGTGCCAATCTCAATCCCAAGATTTCCATGTAAATTCTCCTGCCTGTCTACTATACATTTCTACATTTCTTACAGTTTTCCCTCTGAGCCTTTTAATGTTTTGATATTATGGGGGGGAAGGAAGGGTTGGGGTGGGGGGGCCCACTTATTTATCACACTCCCAGGGAATCAAAGGGCTAAATGGAGACAAATGTCAATGAATGATAAGGACAAACAAAAAGTCAGAAGTGAATGGATGGAAGAAAAAAGAAACAAGATGAGTTCCGATGGCGAAGATTCGCACTTATTCCAAAAAATGAACATGAAGAATTAGGTTCAATTTTGTAAAATTTTCAAACGATGCGCAGATTCAGACTACGTTCCTTTAAATCCTTTTTTGAAGATAAAGGAGACAGTAAAAAAAAAACCATTATTTTCGTTGAAAGTCTTGATAAACGAGGATCGCATTTAAGACTCATTGATTATTTATCCAAGACCTTTCATGGCCACCAGTTTAGTCTTATTCTTTAACACATTTTAGTTCACAATCTCACCTTCACTTCAGGACAGTCTTTCAGAACATCATGACAACCACGCCAGTCGGACGACAGCAAATAGGAATGTATGAGCCGAGGGGCAAGAGAGGAGACGAGATCCAACTCACCACAAAGTATGGCAACCTTCAAAAACGAAGTATCCAAGAATGCAATTGTTACGAGTCAGAGTAACAGGTTAGGCAAAGTCTTTACTCGGGTCAAATGCTCCATCCAACCGGAGTTTATCCTGGTTTTTGTACATGAAGTGACTAAGAGAGAGTATCACTACTACCCCCCCCCCCCCCTTCCCCCGCTTCCTCTGGATGGGATGCTAGTCCATCACAAGCTAAAAGTTATTATCTTCCTTCATTCATTTATTCCATTTTAAAACAAAATAATAAAAAGTAGGTCGAGTTGAAAGACAGATGATTTGGTGACACTGCAACCGACTTAAAGCGCAGGAAACCTTAACCGACCACATGACTATTGGTTTTAGTACAACATCTGATTGGTAGAGTTTCGAGTTTCTGGACCAATCACAGAGCAACGAAAGGGAAACCAACGAAATCCTAGGTTACGTTCCACCTTAATTTACAAATTTCTCAAACCGGTTCGTGAAAACGATTTAGTACAAAACAGGGTAAATTCATAATTTAGGAATGTTAAAATGTCTAAATTATTGATCAATCAATGAATTTAGCTTTTAGATATTATAGAGGCCTGTCTAATTTACCTGAAGCGCTGTCCTCAAAGAAGGCTGATCGCCACGACGACACAGCACCCTTACAGCATCGGATGATGAATGCACCGCCAAGTAACTAAAAACACATAGTTCACCGTTTATTATCTTTTGTATAATTTGAATAGCAATTTGCATATCTCTTCACTTGCTTTAACTATCAACTTACCATTTAGCTGCTTGTTCAAAGGCATTGTCTGTTTCTAGTTTCCTGGCCCAAGTGCTATACAAGTCAAAAAGGACTGGGTCTGAAGGTGAAAGCCGCACCTTGGCCAATGCGATAGCTTCCCTGAAAAGAGCAAAAGGTTGAATACTAACAGACCCGTGGTTTATATTCACATACCATTCTTGACAAACGACGTACCCTATTATGCATACTTATAAGATATAAACATATAATGCGTTTAAGTCATGTGAGAGATAACTAGCCAAAGTTAACAACCCACTCTCCAAGAAATTCTTTTCAAACTTATGTTTGTGTTCCTAGACCTTAACAAAAACTGACAGCATTCAAACTTTTAATACTACTCAGAGCAGTTGATGAGAGGAGATGGAGCGGCGACCTGGGGCAAGTGTCTTCGCGCTCATTGTCCTTAGGTAACTTTTATAGGCTGAAGATGCTACACTTGCATCATTTTTGAGAATTTTGTTTACTTTTCAAAAACTCCACAAGAATATAGGTCAGGTATAGGAAATGTTAGAAAACACCATAGAAAAGCTAACGCCTGCCTTAGTGCATCTTCATGTCACGTTCCATAAAACTCAATGTATGTGTGCATAATGGGTAAAGTTAATATTTCTTGAAATAAGAAAAAAACTGCCGTGTTACGTCGGCGGGAAACAAAACACTTCATCGGTCATTCATCCAAAGATGATAAATTGACAAAAGATTGTTGTTAAACCGCCGGTCATTCATTCAAAGATGATAAATTGACAAAAGATCGTTGTTAAACCGCCGGTCATTCATTCAAAGATGATAAATTGTCAAAAGATCGTTGTTAAACCGCCATGGCGAATTCAAAACATTTGAGGTTTCGAACGGGAGGTGCTGTCATTTCGAAATTAGCATTTATATCCAAAACCCGCATCAATAATCTCGCTCTGTGGGGGGCACTTTCATTATGGACAGTTCACGCTTGGCCCACCTAAGTAACCAATATAGCAAGACACTTTCTATTCTAATTGCATCAAAACCATTCTGGTAATTGTTCTTGAGCAGTGAAATGTTACAAACTGTCTATCTGCTACCCAAAGACAGAAACAGTTGCCAAAGCCTAGTGAAACGTTTTATGCCAGGATGTTAGGTAGGAACACAAGATCCCAAGAACCCATCATCCTAGACATGGGAGATCGTGACCCTACGGGTATGAACTCCTATTTAAAGGTAAATTTGTTGTTTCCTTTCGTCTACTTTAGAGTAACTTGCAGATCCAACGAATTATCTAAGATAATTCGCCAGAATGTTGTGGTTACATACATGGAAGAAAGTCGCAATAGGATGTAGCAAATACTTAACTAGAGTCCTGCGATTCCAATAAGGGCAGGGAGGAGGAAGGGGGGCGAGTGAAGTCTTGATAAACCCCATAAAAGCACTGTTCACCGGCTCTAATAAAATCTGCTAGAAATCTGAAGTTTACATTTTGGTTTATTCATGGGTTTGCGCCATTCGATACGTACTCAGCAATTCAACGCTACCTTTATCATGAAGTAGAATTTCAAATAGAGCGCGATTTGTTTGTTGTTGCCATATGAAATTATAAGATGCGATTAGTTTCACTGAAAAATACAACTCTCCCTAGACACGAGTCAAGTGTTTGCCGCATTGCACCTGTCACGCTCTACACACTCCCTTCGTAGGCGCTGCGTGACAAACTCCAACAACCTCTGCTAGAGAGACTAACGTATATCGTAACACCGGGATTATCATGAAAAAGCTTCAATAATTTATAAAAATTACATTACAGGAACTGCTATTAGTTACTTTGGCTTAAAAGAACATTTTGAAAATCACAACCACTAGGAAACCACGGATTCTACGGCAATTCTAGCGACGACAGGGCTCTAATAGGGAAGTTTGTGCACTTTTTCATTAAATTGCTTTTACTGAAAAAGTTCTTAATTTTTTCCGTAGGTGGATTTCATGGATTTGATAGCTGAACCTGAAGGATTTCAATCCCACAAGAACCTGCACAATTGCGCCTTTAGAACGTACAACTTCACTAAAAACTGCTGCTACTTTGGGTTGACGCTCATCTTTGGGGGTCCACTGGCATTCTGTTTTGGCTGCTACTTTGCCTGTATCGGGTTCGAGTACGTTTGGTGTGTGATACCTTGTGTTAAGGCGTGGCTGATAAGATTGGAGTGCTTCGGCAGGATCTTTGCATACTGCATCAAGAATTTTTGTGACCCTTGTTTCTACTCAATTGGGAAAATCTTTTCTAGAATTCATGTCAAGACTGAAACGGTTTAGTAACTTGTTAACTTGGTAATGTTTTTGTAAGTTTCGTATGCAGACGTTTGCGACCCATCGGATAAATTGTCTCTTATGTTCCGGTTATCCACAACCTGATTAACTGTATTTCCTAAATAAATGCGCGTATATTCATAGAACCAATGACACGAGTGAACTTAAAATTGCATAAAGAAGAGACAGTGTCAAATCATTCTGAACGAAAACATCCAAGTTACACAACAGGTCTGTGTACCCGTGATATTTAAAAGGAGTTCAAAACTTAAACTCTACAATAGCTCGTTAGGGGACAACCTTCAAGAATACTGTAAAAATTAGGGGGGGGGAGGGGGTAAGTCTCCCAGCTTATCCTCTCATAATGCAACCCGTTCCCTTATACGATCTGGTAAACCAACCTACCTAGACTGCACATGCTCGATAACTATTAGTATTAGACGGCCCGACACACACAAAAAAAAGAAGAAATAAAAACACACACGCACACTCACACAAATAAAACAAAACAACGACATAATTTTTTTTTATGTGCACAGTAAAGTGAACCAGTGCCAGTTAACACCGTGTGCTGTACCGACCTACCTATACATGTGCTGTTTCCTGAATACGTCAATAGCTTTGTACGTGTCATGGCACGCTAGGTAATACAAAACGGCACGCTGATACTGACCCTGCGATTCTAGCTGGTCAGCAAACGCTCGCGTTGTAGCCATCCATACTTCACGCCCACCTGAAAGTGAATTTTCGCTACAATATCGCAAATTTGCTTGACTTTAGAAGTTAGGTCAAGACGTCAAAACATATTTTAACACACTTTTGCCAGCTTACACGATGAAAAAAAGACAAATAAATAAAGACCCCTCTAAGCTAGACAAGCCTAGCGAAATACTTAAAATAACTGGATTAGGATAGGCGGCCCGTTTCTATAAAGATGTTTCAGTTTCAGCGACGTGAGAGCAACACAATGCACAGAAATGGGCCGGTTTTCAAAGTAAAGGATTTGCGCAAAACGAGTTGAAACGAAAATCAAATGTTAATATGATAGGGCACTGGTCGGATTATTTTTGGATAAAACCCAAATCGAGGGAAGGAAGCAAACACGTAATGAACCCTAAAGTGTTCTTTACCTAGGGGACTGAGAGCCACAAGCCAGTCAATAAGCTGGTTATTGTTATTCGCCATTTGCAAAGCTCCGCTAAGATTTCCTTTCCAGATCTCCAGCTGCAACTGGTAATCAAGGTTGCCGCCGTCCTTGTGATGTTCACCTACACAACAAGATCGAGGAAAACAACCGCGTCACCAACAAACCGTAAAAAAAAAACAACCTCTCAAATTTGGCTAAATAAATCTAAATACCTTCCGTAGTAAACATCCTGTATGCGCTGCGCCTATCAGCAAACAACCCGAGGTTCACAAGCTCCTCTGATCCGGCTACTCCATGCGACGGCGAGTTACCACAACTGGGTGTACCTTGTTCCTGACCTGTCAAACCAGTAAATATATCACAACCTTGCATCAGTGACTTGGAATCTCACGGTTACAGGGGCCCAAACCTTGAGGTAATTTATCTCAGAGTATTGTTACTTCGTCTGGAACTGGATGTTAGTCTATAGACCCGGACATTTCTTCACTAACAATTTGCAGTTACAAATTTATATTTTCTAAAAGGAGGGAAGCGAAAATCTTGTGTATTGCTACATCTACAACGGAATGACCAAGACCAGGACTCGAACCAGGATAACGTGAACCAAACCTCAGTGCAGAGGACATTTGACGTTTGACGTTTGGTGCAATAGGCACGTTTTTGAGACGGAAACGGTGAACAAAACCAATCTGTTGCAAAGCCCGTACTTCAAAACTCTAAACAAAGCGCTACATTTAAGTACCAGCAATAGAATAGAAAACAAAGCTTCCTCCTGTAAGTTATGGGTTAAAAAACGAGTCAACCCTTTAACTCCCAAGATCTGATTGTTAATTCTCCCCTCTATCTGCTACATATTTCCGTGTAAATAAGTTACGAGAATTTGGTGGTAGATCAAGATAACAACTTCTACCTGATGCATTTGAGTATTCTCATTACCTGTTTGCTGAATGGTGCATGGATATTGTAGGGAGAAGTTGTTAATCACTTCTGGGAGTTAAAGGATTAAAGATGGTCTTGCCTACCATAGTTAATCTTCGCTAGTTCAATGCACTCCTCTCGTGTCACTGTTTTAGATTTGCTGTCCGCAACAGCAGAGAGGGGAAACATTGATTTGACTTTCCTCTTTTTCTTGGAAGATGATGTTGTTTCTAATGAAACTGTAAAATCAAACGAAAACCACGGTGTTAGTTAATCAAAAATACAAGGGTACAACAAGTTACAAGAACAAAACTGAAGTCGAAGCTTACACAAGTGGGCATCCTTGTGAAGCAAAGAAAATGTCTGCAACAGCTAAACAAGAGTGAAAGCACATGTATTTTATTGGGAAGGATTCACACAGTATTTTATCAAAGGTACTTTAAGAGTAAATTAAGTGGTCACCAAAGTATCCGTTAACAGAGCTTCAAGTGAATACTTAAATGACCCGAAAGACGTGTTTTTAAGATTCATCAAACAATGAGAAACGAAGCGAACGATTGACAATTCGACAATTTTATAACGACTTATAACAAAAATGCTGCATAACATATTAACAAACATGTAAAAATTTAATCGCATCAACTTTCAACTCACAACAAAAAAGAAAGAAGAGAACAGGTAACGTCCAACTTACCCTTAGATCTTAAGGGAATCACTTTCTCTTGTTTCAAAACAACATCAGGCCTCTTCTCCTCGGCCGAACAGCATGTATTGTAAATGTCCAACGACTCATTTTCTGCCACTACTCCCTCTTTCGACTCAGTTCTGCCATTACTATTTTGCGCTTCTTCTGTTTTCACCACCGGCTCTTTCCCAGCTGCTTCACTCTCGGAGCTAACGTTAGGTTTTTCTTCCTTTTCGTTTACTCGAGTTTTAGGTTCTGAAGTAGAGGTGGGTGAGATAATTTGCGGTTCCTGAGAATGATCACTGAAGCTGTCTGCTCTAGCTTGTTTTTCATGAGTGCTAGTGTGCTCAAGATTGGACGTTGGCTGGTGTCGCCATGTTTCCTTGTTGTCTGACGGAGTTTTCCCTTTTCCTTTTTGCTTGTTCTTCTTGCTTTTGGAGGACTTACTTGCTGAATGGCTCGTTTTCTTGTCTGCGTGAAAAATAAGTGACAATGATCGATATTAACCACAACATGTTCCACAACAACGGATATGAGAAGGTTAAAAAACCTTGGTATCTTAAACCCCTTTTTCTGGCTGCAGGAGGTTTGGAATGACGAGCTTCTTTTGTATTTTGGCGGACTCAAAACATACCACCGGCTTGAAGGATGGGACGTCAGAGGAAATAACTAGTGGCGAGTGGATAAGCGAAAAGTGGAAGAACAGCAGATGGCGGCGCAGATGAAAATAGCAAAGAAAAAGGCCGCTTTCGGAAAAATTTCAGCAAATTCTGACATTGGGTGGCTCAGCCTCGGCGAGCCATTCCTAATCAGTGAAAACCTTTAGCAGCGCGCTGAATCTATAGACCTTGTCGGACAAATTCCGTCCACCTCCACCTACCCGAGACAGGTGGCTGCCGATGCTGCTGCAGTGAAGGTCTCCAAGGTCGCACAGTGCCGTCCTCTCCGCCACTGTATACCAAATCAGGATCCAGATAACTCCACACTACACACATCACACGGCTGCTATGGCCACGGAAATTGTACAAAGCTTCTCCTTTAACCGCATCCCAAACCTACGAACGGGAAGTACAAAAAATACTGACTTGGGAAGATGAGAAAAAACTATTTACAATTATTTTTATTACAACAATAACGAAAAATTGATGCATCGAACAAACTTTAAAAGTTTTCGGATCATGGTCAGTATCTAAGCAACTGTGGCACCTGAGTGACACAAAGATCGTTCAAACTGTTGGTTAACAACGAGGTGAGACACATAATGATCGACTCCTGGAGTAGCAACTATCTTTGGCGACATATCGATTTTCCTACACACGGCATAATAAATAATTTGCATATGCAGAACCAGTCTGCTCTCATTATTGTACAGAGTCTGCAGACATACTAACCTGAATAACTTCATTTCTATGTACTACACATTAAGAACAGCCGAAGGAAAAACAAATCTCCTTATCTGAACGGTGAGACCAACTCTGCTCTTTGATACGGATCTGATCACGGGTCTCAATTACCTGAGCAGTTCCATCATACGACGAAGAAAGAAGTAGTTCCGACTGATGTGGACTCCAATTCAAATCAGTGATTCTTCCCGAATGACCCGACAGCTTACGGAAACATTCGGTGATGGGAGCCGCGTGGGCGGTAGGACTGGACAAATCATCTGTAGGAAGTAATGTCTTACGTTAGGAGAAAACGAGAGAAGAGGGAGCGAAGAGTTATTGTGATGAAGAGGCGGAAGGAGAGAAACATGTTGAATCAAGGGTTTGTCCTTTTCTTTCCAGTTGAGTAGTCTTTGCCTATTTCCTCTTCGTTTGTGTGGTCCACTGATAAAGGTGTCTTTCGATCAAGGATGGAGCGAGAAGACGGAAAATCCAACTTGATAATTCTAGCGTACGGTTAAATAGGACGGACGCTATTTTGAATAATGTTGATCACTCCATGTACTCAATTAAAAATTTGCGCGTTAGTACCACTTCCCATAAATATGAACAGATGACAATAGGACGACTTTGAGGAGTGGTAGAGATCGTAGGGGAGGTCGGGGACAACGCGTTTACTGGATAAATTAGTTGTCTATCAAAATCAGAACGGAGTGAGTGAATCCAGACCTAAACCTCACAGTACGACCACGTCTATGGTTGGAATGCTTTGCAAAAAGGGAATAAATTTTGATCACGAAACAGCGAGTGAACGAAGAAACACAACAGACCATGCAATTTTTTCACTTCTAATAAAGTAACCCGCTACGTACCCAACATATTGCTGAGGTCATGGACATGAATGGTAGACTCATTAGATCCTGACGCTAACCAATACTTGCAACTAACACTACCTAGAAAGAAACACACGCGATTTTCTTTGAAATTCTCACTTCTGGGAGTTGGGACGATAGGCTTTTTCCGAATTAAAGTTGGCCTCATTTTCAAAACGAGTCCTGGTGCTCATCCTTTCGTGTGCTAATAAGTTTTCATTCACATGCAAATTAAATTCATTTTCATACGAATGGTTGAGCACCAGGCCTCATTTTGAAAAATAGACAAAAGGTAATTCGGAAATGACCTACTAGCGTTTCTATTGTCATTACCTGGCTGCTGGACAATGCAATGAAAATGTATGGAGAAGTTACATGCTAATCTCGTCTGGGAGTTATAGGGTTGATGACGTAAGTGTCAAGGTACTCAAATCACCTTATCAGACCATTAGATTATCGTTTTCATTTTCATAATTTCTGATTTTCGCACCCATTAAATTTTTCACTTGGGTAAAACACACGCAAACAGCACACGAGTGGCCATAAGAATGCCCTATTCCTCTCTTCCTTTAACTGAATCACGTACTTGTACTACCGGATAACATGGGTACCAATAACTTCAATGCAGACATAAAAAATAATTCCTGACTTATGCATCCCACTCTAAAGGGGTAATGCAATCCGCATCACGGTCTGACGATTACACAAACCAGGTTAAGCCTCGGTAGAGATGCGAGAATGTCTCATCTGACTTTACCAACAATACACGCAAGCATGACAATGAAGACTTTAGTTTACCTTTGCCATTTACTACTGCAGTTAGTTCGCCGTGACCATGATGCCACATAAGAGTAGTGATGCTCTTTTTGTGCGTGATAATCATCCCAACTTGTTGCAAGTCCGGTGGAACATACAATTCAATCGAACTAAAAAGTGAATGGCAATGATAATAGTCATAAAAATTACAATGTGACGCATTTTATTTAGGGCTTTCGTTTTTAATTGTAATGCGACTATTTTAAATTACATCGTAATTGTTATAACATTTTTAATTATCATCATTGAAATTCGTACAGTACAGCGCATTTAATGTAGAGTACCATGAACAATCAATGAAAATGGCGCCACTTGAAGATAGATTTATCAATGTATTTTTCAGGATTAGGATTAGGAACAGCTTCTGCCTCAGTATCAGCTTTGTCTTAAGCATTTTTCAAGGGATATTAATTCATGCCTGACTCACCCATCTTCATTTCCCAAAGCCATCACGGAACCATCTGGATTCCATGAAACATCCGTTCTACCAAACGGCTTGTGCTGTAAGTGAAAATACAAAAAAAAACCAATATTTTCGCCAGAATAAAACATATTACAATAGAAACACAAACAGCTATCCAAACGTGCTCTTCTCTTTAGTTTGACAAACAAGACCACAAGTCCAACATCGTTCATTTTGCATCAAAATCAACGGACACACGGACCTTTGAAGTTGTGTTTTACTAGTATCACAATTAACCTCTAGCGGAAGAAGCAGTGAAATGTTTCAATCCACGCATACCTTGAGGTTATTTGTTTTTAGTATTAAAGCATTCACATCTACTGCATCATCCATAAAATGTCCTGTTTTGTGCTCAAGGACACTTCCGTCTCCTGCACAGCTGTACAGGTTTAGTGTGTCACCATCACCTACGATAAAAAGAAAAAGAGAAAAACATTTTCAGAAACTGGCCACACAACATACTCGCTCTTCAATCATTTCTGCAGACATCAATCCGGAAGATATATATCTAAACCTTACTTCAACGCAAGTCTCAGAAAATTCCAGTTTGGCTTAGTAGATGTAAAAATATAAACTCCTTAGAATTTTAGCTTGGGCTTTCCAAACCAAACCGCACAATATAAATACAGCCGATGTTTGTTTAGGAGAAGATTTCTTGTCTCACCAATTTACAACCATTAAGCACCAGTTGTGTCAATATGTGTTTTGCTAAAGAAAGACGTGAAGCACTTGCAAGGAACAAGTGACGAAGAAAACATCTTGGTCCCCCGAACGGCTCTAAACCACAGCCATGCGATAAGCGGGCCAGTAGGTAACATAGCAGGCTCATAGATGACAAGAATCCTGTAGACTGTAAGAATAAGCCAAGTCGAAAGGATCCTTTTTGGAAATGATGATACATTTGGAGCAAAGTCGTAGACTAGAGAAAGTTTTTACACTTTTGTTAGGAGCGTAGAACTTAAAAATATGATAAAATATTAAAGTAACCATACAAAAACAAAAAGGCACCTTCCGCGGGGCAGGGAGGGCCCCAAGACAGAGAATACACTGTCTTCTTGTGGTATGTTGAAGAGCTATCTAACCTGGAGGAAATTGAAGGAAGATACAGAAACATATTATAATAATTGTCTTATCAGCTATATCACAAGAGTTTTGAAGAGATGGGCCTAGATCCCGTTTGGTGTAAAGTGCGCTTTGGAGAAAAAACAAAAACAAAAGAAAACCAAGAGACCTGAAACTTAATACAGCGAGTTACGGTAAATGGAAGTTGAACGATTTTTACAAATTACTTCATTCAAATTTATGACAGTCTACTTTCGAAGTTCGAAGATCACGCCAACAGCCTTGATTAGTTTGGTTTATAATAAAGTTTGAAAGATATTTCCTTTCTGTATATCTTGTATAAGAACGTACCAATATTAGTAGAAGCTAATTTTGTCACAGTAAAATAATGACCAGTGTCCAGTTACCCATACATAATGTAAAATTCGAGCCAGGAATTTCTATCCCTGTGCTTCAAGGAATTCCTTTTTGGAGAGAAAAAAGAATCTCCAACTCTGAGTTAGCCTGGTTCAAGTGTAAGTAGATTAACTGGGTGTGCATGAAGAGACCAGCAGAGAGAGGAAAACACACACAGAATGCCCAATCAACATGGACACACACTTTTTTGAAATTATATTATAAACCCCAACTTGTCCATCATCTGCTCCAAATGCTAACAAGCCTTCCTTGCTTGGATGCCATTTGACCTGCAAAAACACAGAAATGGAATCACAACTAATCTCTCTCACAGCGGTGGTCCGGTCGTTAGTGCGCTCGATTCAGGCCGGAGCATGAGGTCTGGATTAAAGCCCCGACCCTGACCGTGGTATTGCGTTGTTACATTGAACACAGTAATCTCACAATGTCCCTCTCCACTCAGGGGTACATATGAATACTGGCCAACTGTTAGCAAAGCCTAATAAAACGTTAAGGGCGGTAGGATTACTTATGATAAACCAGCGTTGAAGAGCCCGGGGAAAAATACCCCCCCCCAAACACCTGACCTTGCTCACGTTCTGAGCATTGAAGATATGCAGAAAACGCCAGGCATAAAACTTCCCAACAGAGTTTAGTTTAAAAATACTTACCACCATCACTTTAGATTTGATCCCTTGCCAAACAGTCAAAGCTTCATAAGGTCCAGCAGATGAGGTTGTTTGCCAAACTCGAAGCATGTTGTCTCCTACTCCTATTCCAACAGTACCAGGATCCAGGGGGGAGATGCCCAGCGAGTAAGCAAAGCCACCAAGGGTAGGGAGGGTTTGTAAACTTCGTAGCTGTTGAGGATCCCAGATAACAATCTGAGGTATGGAGAGAAGTGAAAGATTAGTGTGGCCATGTGATAATTGTTGCTGTTTTTTACTTTTTCGCTTAGATGATGAACGAACTGGGCTGTGATGATGACTTTCAATCTCTGCCAGTTTTAAAGAGGAACAGAACTGTGTTTGACTACTGTGAATAATATGGTAGTCTTAAGACTACCATCATGTCCTCTGAATCAGTGGTTTCTATTGTCTAGGTTTGATTATCAATTTGCTGTACATAGTGCAAGACAATTTTCCTGTCTACCAACCATTTCTACTGAAGGATTTCTTTTTACATGATAGCAGGGCAACTTTTTCTTCCATGCGAATTCACGCTAGTATCCTAGCGTTAATCTGTTTTCGTTTACATAATAGCACCACAAAATAATGGAATGTGCCGAGAAACCAAAGCGTAATTTTCGTCAATCCATGAAGAGAGCGTCACGTTGGACGCGAGACGAGGAGAAGACAGACGCATTTGTACACGCGATTTGGAACTCGCGCCCGTTCTTGTTTTACCGATTTAACACCCCCTGGTAAGGAAGAATTAGGTAGATACACCCTAGACAGAAAAACAGGCGTCATTTCTTTTTTTGCGTTTTCTAGGTGACCGGCGATAGGCACGAGGTGGGCGCACAGGCGATTCGCGAAGGGCAAGGGGCTCTGTTATATTTCCTCCCTCTTCCTTACGCGTATGACTCGTGCTTTGCCTTTGCCTCGTAGTAATAACACTACATTAGTAATAACAATAATATCAACAATAATAATGATGATGAGAATATAATAATGAAGATGACAATATGATGACAATACACCTGTTTTACGAGCTATGTACACCCTTTACCACGTGAAGTCTAAAAACTTACATTTATGGTAAAAGACAATTAGAGACAGCAATGTATTGCACCAGTGATATAAAATGAGTACTGTACCTGTCTGTCCATGGAGGCAGTCAGCACTCTTGTACCAGAAATGTCACAGCTGATATTAAACACAATTCTTGAGTGGCCCACGCCAAATGTTTGGCATTGAGCTCTTCCTTCATTCTTGCTGAGATCCCACAACAAAATTTCGCCACTATGCACCAGATTATGTAAAAACAAATTAAGGCATAGATAACAATTTTGTTTAACTTAACAATGCTGTGTCCCTGGGATTTGAACCCATGACCCCTGCCATATCGCTGTAGTGCTCCACTACCAACTGAGCTGAGAAAACAAGATAACTGAAGTGGTGAACAGTCATTTATTTGAAATCTGTTTACTACAAGATCTTAGGCCAGGCAAACAAATAGGATCTAAGTTTCAGAAATACTTTTCATCATTTTCAAAATCTAGCATCATTATTAACAGCTGTTTGAGAGTTCACTCATTTCTCATGAAACTCATTACAGACTGAAAGAAAACCAGGCATACTTTTCAACACATTTTTCCAGTTTCTTATGCATAACTATCACCTGCATCAAATTTTCCTTCTTTCAAAGGATTTCCTCCTGCTCACTGATTCTGCAAACTAACTTACCCATGACTGCTAGAAATAACATGGCCTGGTGATGCAGCAGGCCAGCAAACACTGACCCACAATCTGTCTCTGGGGCCATAAGAATCATGTTTGTCCTTTCGTGATGATCTTTTAGGCAGTTGTTTAATGGACAGAACTTTGCCTTGTGCTGCATTCCATAACCTGACTGTCTGATCCCTTGAACCTGACACTATCAAGTGTCCTTCAGCAGCTGAAACCTTGTCTTGTATAGGACCTTAAAATAATGCATGTCTTATAAACCCTCTAGTTAATACTATAACAAAATTCTCTAATGTGATTGGTAATCACCAGCCCAATTTGAGAACTAATAGGAAAGTATACACATCATGCTTGCAATGGGACAATGTAATAGGACAGTTGATGAGTCATACCTATGCAAGAGGACAGTGTGCATCATGAGCGAGTGCTGTTGTCACACATTATGCCATGTTAACTGATGCTTTTTTTCTCAAATTATGTCATAATGTTGATTAACTAGTAACAGGGCTTTGTGTTGTCCAATTCTGTCAGTGATCATACTCATGATTAACAATTTGGACTCCTGCAGTGATAAACAAATCAGACTTCTGCAGTTGTCCAATTTTTTTTGATCACTTGTATGATTACAGACAGAATTGGACTCCACTCAGTCCTACTACGATAATGATTATTAATTAAATATGATTTATTTAATAAATCCCCTCTGTAAAAATGTAAACTCGCAACTGCCAGACAACCCATCAATAGGAATACTGCTGCCCCCTCTCTCCTCTGGGAATGAGATGCAACTCCACCTGTAGCAGGAATATTTTATTGATCTACACAATATACTGTATGGTTAATATAAAAATTTACCAAAGTCAATGTCTTCCTTAGGTGCTGGACACCAGGCTAGACTGTGAATTTCACTAGAATGTCCTTGCAGTTTGTGCACTAACGAAAAACTCCTTCTGCTTGTATCAACATTCAAAACAGCTATCAGACCACTCTTGTACCTACAAGATAATAATAATCTGAAATTTACTAAAACTGTCTTTAATAAACCATTTTTTGAGAATGATCTCTGGCTAAAACATTTAAAAAGTTACAAGCTATCAACTGCCTGAACTGCAGTCTTCAACAGGTGAAATCAGAATGAAAAAAATTGGAAAAAATTTGAATAAAAAACCATGAAGTTGCAAAATTATTAAGCATGAATTATTTGCAGTTCAGGAGGTTCAAAGCTTGTAATATTCTAATCGTTTTACCCAGAGTTCGTTCTTAAAATAAATTACCAACTGTCTGAAATCAGATGGAGTGTGCAAAAACAAACAGAACTTTCCTCAACTGAATGAAACTGTGCACAACAGGACATTCTTTAGAGGGTGAAGGATTAATGCAAAGGACCACTTTGATGGAGACCACTACTTAAAATCTAAACAAGCTTATGGTTTAAGAGACCAAGACAAAAAAAAAACCTGTAAAATTTTCTCCAATCTGTTTGAACTCACCCGACAGCTATTTCACTTTGTGAAATATAGGAAAGAGCTACAGAAAAAATATGATCTTGGACTGGACAAGCTTCAAACAGATTTTCTTCTGTATACCTCCATGCAATGATAGAACCTTTTTCATCACCTGTAAGTAATGGTACACAAACTTTCAAAACAGGGTGTCAACTGTATCTTTGATATGAACTTCAAAAATATTGTATGTTTAACTGGGTCAGGTATAGGAAGATATGGCTTAAGGAAACAGCAATACATGTGATTAATGAAAAAAAGTTATTGATGGCTCTGCCATCTACTTTTGACCAGATAATGCTGTAAAGTAGCCCAAGAATTCTTTGATCCCTGTTCCTGATTTACACCCTCTCTGCCTACAGGAACATAATTCAAGAACATATACATGTAAATGTGTCCAAGTTCAGGTGATTCAATCACAGAATTCAAGACCATTTGTAGGCGCCAAGTATACAAGCAAACTCTGGGAAAATATTTATTGCCTCTCCCCCTCCCTCTCCTTCCTTTCGACCATCATTCACTCTTTGAGTCTTTCTCTCCCCAGCCTTCTGCCGCTAAGATAAATCAAAGATGGCAGCTATAATTTTCACGAAGAAAATACTAAACACTTGCTCACCAAAATCATAGCTATTCTGTGAACTATTCTGTGAGCTATTCTGGTCAAATAGCAATGTTACCAATCTCTAAGGATTATTTCCATTCAGAAAATTTTTTCAACACATTATATGTGCAGGATTCTCTTACCTGAGATAACAAGATCTGTAACAACAGGAGACCAAGCAAGGCACGTCACTTTAGCCTAAAAGATAAAGGAATACTGGATATTATCATCAATTAGATTAAGGAAAAAGATAATGTTTCTTAGAAGATTCTGGTATGCAGTTGTACATAACATCATGTCATCCATAAATTTGTCATCTCATCTATTTATTTATTAATGTCTACAGGCAGAGCTGAACAATGACATGTCACACAAGGTTTAAAATTCAGGGAATTTTCAAGAAAAAAAAAGGGCACTGGTATTTAAAATTGAGGCATTTTGTTGTTGAGAAATTTTTTTTTAAATATTGTTCTGTAAAAGAAAAACGGCAAGGAAAACAATGCCCAGAAGCAACAGAATGGAAAATCAAACTTTAAAAAAGATTCAAAATCTGTTTTTCACATCAAAGCCTGGTGCAGATGCAGATGTTAACCCTTTACACCCACTGGTCAGTATTCATATTCTCATATAGGAGAATTTGCCTAACAATCAAAAGCTTCTTAGTTGGTGATCATTTCTTTTATTCTTGTAACCTTTGTGTGTAAATAAATAAACAAATAAATAAATATAAAAGGAGGAAACTTGTTAGCTGTAAAAAAATAGCTTCTATAGTCACATTTGGGTCATATCGTTGTTCTGAAACTCAAGCTATGCCATGAAAACAGGAAAGAAGCGAAGGTGAGTTTCAAGATCAATTCAGCTCAATGAATTCAGCTGTTCATGGAGTAAATCAAATCAGCCGTAATAAATAATACCAAATATATTTACAGGATTATAATTTTGTGGAAATAAAAATACGTACGTTGTGCGCCTTATGTTCCATTAGTGCAAGCTTTGACCCTACGTCCCAAATTTTCACTGTTTTATCATCCGAACCGCTAGCAAGGAAACTCGCGTGAAGCTTGTGTTTGGAAAAACACACACTTGTTACACGCTCCACATGGCCGTCAAGTTGACCCTCAAAAACAGGCGACACCGAGCTGACGTCCAAAAGATAGACGCAATTTCTAGCACCAAACGCATAAACACTGTTCAAACTACAGTCTGCCACAGTACTACAATACCAGTTAGGGGATGCGAGAAGAACGAACTTCGACGCATCGTCGGCCATGTTGGAATAGAAACCGCGAAAAATGCTGTAGAGAGACTGGCACTAATGGTGGTGCCACCAAAGATCGCGGGACCCTGGAACAGAGAGTTGTTTCAAGATGGCCGCGTCTAAAGGTACGTGTGGTATATATGATATCTTTTCGAGTTATGAGCTCATTTTTAAAGGACGTATGCCAATTTGAAACATGTTTTTATTTTTCTAATAGTCGAGGGACTCCTTAGAGTTGTACAGTTTCAGCTAAGGTAAGTTTCTTACTGAAGGCCAAGGCTTGAGAAAGTCACAAAATAAGGCTCCTCTTTAAACCTGTCTCACCAGTTTTTATAGCATATTGCACTCAGACTTTCACTTAAATTCCACATTCTAGAAAATCAGGAGCATTAGTGATGTATCATGTAGCTTATTGGGATATCACTCGGATAAACGTATTTAGAGAAAACTAAAACAGCGGATAACGGTGAAGGCGTGCTCTGATTGGCTACTCAGACTCCGAATATCTTTTGCTATTCGCGTCCGAGCAACTCGTGTGGGATATGTGCCTGAAAATACTGAAATCGGCGCAAGGATAAATGAGTTAAAATCACCTTTTTGTGCTCTATTTTCTCAATGTTTTAGTTTTTATTAAAACAACTATTCACCTCATTCTCAGTGGCCAGCAGTGTCCACCAGTAAATATTTACCATTAGCCACCTCCACTTTGGTAAATAGTTGTTATAATTATTTAGATCTATTTGTTTTTATGAAAAGTTCAACATCTTACTTAACATTTTCTCTTTGTATTTAAGGAACCTGTCCCTGCGGCCAGTTTTGTGCTCAAAGCTGCACACCTGTGCATTGCGACCTGCTACTTTTTCAATTACCAGAGCACTATGGGGGAAAACACTGGCTGAAATTGAAGAGGAAAAGGGAATTCCAGAACCCCCACGAGAGGTATGCCTAACTTCAAATTAGTATTGATAGGTTGTGGAGCTAGATATTGGGATATATGCTCTCATGAAATACTTGACAGGTATAGAATTCAATATAGAAGCTTGCCCTTAAATTATGGCAGATGCACATGTGATTTTTCCTTTCTTGCCATACATTTCACACTTGTTAGGAAAATCACCTTTAGAAGCGCAAGATCTTATCAAGTTCTGCCTTACCTCGTAGACTGGTACAAAAGACATTTACGAGAAACAGGGTATTTGTTAAGATTACTTTGCAGTGCAAATTACCAGTGCCCTGTGTCTGAAGGTGATTGAAATAACCATTTGAACACCATTTTATCGGGGCAGTAAAATCAATCTCCAGATTGAATGTTTAAATGTGGAAGTGAGAGCCATAATTTGCCCTAACAGAGAGCAAGTGCTCAACACCATGATGATTGATTTTCCTTTATGATAAGCTAATTGTTTTCTCTTCAGTACAATTGACAAATAACACCTTAAAGTAAGCATATTCTCCATAGTATTCCCTAAAGATTTCCTAAGGCGCAGACAGGAAGAATCTGTTTGACACTCATTTTGTTTAATTTCCTTTATTCTCTTGTCCTAAATGTGTAATTCAGGAGTGATATTGTAAGGAGAAATTAGATGCCAGTCATTTTTAAGGGTTAAAGGGTTAATGTTCTCTATTTATCAAACTATGACAGGGTGGCATGTCAAAGTCTCTTAGTTAAAAATCAGTAATTTTTTTCTTTGTAGACCATTCACCATGTTAGAAGAGAGATCAAAGGAAGCCCAACTAAGTTTAATGCAGTAGCAAAACAGGTGATTAGTTTTCTTCCATTTTGATGGTGTAAAAGAAGAAAACTAAAAGAACATTTGAGAGGCTTGCTTAATATACATCAATTCAAGCCCTGCACCCATTTTTCCATTCATTTGTAAAGTTACAAATGACACTGTAACTCTTGATATCCTTGTTTTCCCTTAGTTACTTAATATTAACTCTTTAACTCCCAGAAGTGATTAACATAAAACTTCTCCCTACAATATCCTTACATTCTTCAGCAAACAGGTAATGAGAATATTCAAACTTATCAGGTAGAAGCTGCTAACTTGATCTAGCACCAAGTTCCCATAACTAATTTACAAGGAAATGTGTAGCAGCTACAGAGGAGAATTAACAATCAGATCTTGGGAGTTAAAGGGTTGAGTTAACAAACTACCATTAACTGAATGCATGTAGCATTCAATTCATACAGTTTTTTACTCCTGCAACCAACAAGCCTGTGAAATTTAAGCTCCTTTTAGAGAGACAGAGCTTTCTTGCATGCTGGTGAAATTAGAACTGAAAGGATCAGGGTTTGAACTCAATTTTCAGTGGATGCTCAGGTCACATCCACAGTCAACGTTTAAGTTGAGAGTTTGTTTTGTGAGCATCATTTTATGGGCTGGATTTAGTATGCTGAAGTCTGTGGTTTCAGTTTGTGCCCTTGATGGTTTTATTGTGCTGGTGTCACTGGTTTAAATAGATGTACATGTCTTGTAAAGTAATGTTTGTTTATTCTTGTGTGTTTGTTTGTTTTTTTTTTTGCACAGATCAGGGGACTGCAGATTGAAGAAGCTATTAAACAGATGACATTTTCACCCAAAAGACCAGCAGAAATTATTAAACAAGTAGGTATTACCTAGAGAATATAGGAGGATTTGTATTCAAACAGATTGCTATATCTTGAATTTAGGAATAACACATACAGCTAAAGAAAGCAACATTTCTCAGTCTATCATGCAGTTGGTGATTTAAATAACAGCTAGTCAGTCCACTCTCTTAGATCCATGTCTAATGAGAACCAAATTAATTTATTCCTTGCAGAACTTAATGGTAAAAAATGTCACATAATTTTTTTTTCTCAAGGTAATCCTAGAAGCACAAGGAAAAGCTCAAAAGGAGTATGATGTAGAGGACAAAACACACTTGTGGGTTGGTAAGTATTTACCAAACAAGTGTAGAATTACAGTGAGTAACAATGATTCATGCTGTGCTGCCCTTACAGAAAAGATTATCAGAAAACTCCACAAGCCACAACTGTGTTTTTACTATGCTAGGAAGTAATCAGTAGTCTGTGACTGAACAGTACAGGAAGATTTGGGGTTTAACCTGTTAGGTGGCTGAAGGTTTAGGGTTACAATGTTGAATTTAAGGTATTTTGAGCACTGAACCAAAACTGAAGTGTAATATGTGCCTAAGTGTTCTGTGACAGTAATAAACATCTTCACCCATGACACTGGGTGAGCTCTGTCATAACAACTGTTACAAGTTACGGCCCTCTTTGAAAGGCATGGTGACTGGTGGTGTTGGATATTGGTTGTCACTGTGTTGAGATAATAGCAAACTGGCCTCATATCCTCTGGAATGAGTCCATGTTCCTGAGAGTTTCATCTCTTAGCTGCAATTTTTCTTGCTCTCAGTCATTCCATCTACATTGTCTTCTCTTACAGCTCAGTCTTATGCTAGCAAAGGACATTATATCAAGAGAATGAGGTATCATGCAATGGGTCGCTTTGGCATCAGGCATATAAAATACTGTAATTACTTTGTTGTCCTGAAAGAAGGAACAGCCAGACCAAGAAACAAGAAGAGAAGAAGGAGACACATGAGTGAGTTAGAACTTGTGCAAAGGCATCCACGACACATTCGGAACTCTCTATCATGGTGGTGAAGAAGGCTTGACCTTGATCATTATGGCTGTGGAAAATGTAAATCCTCTCTAAAACACCTGTACACAGCCAACCTGGCTGTTATGAATAAAGGAAGGATATCAATTTTATCAGATACTGTCCTTTTAATGTTCTTGAATATGCACTTGAAGTAACTTCTGTTTCTAATAGGGACGGAACAACGTGAAAATAACAAAACAAAACCAAACGAACCAAGTGGGACCTGGAACGGCTAACGTGATGACAAAATAAACAAGAATGATAATCTCTCGTTTTTATTATAAAGAGCATATATAAAAAAAACTATGTAATTTTATTTACATTCCAACAATATTACTAACAACGTTAGATAATTTTTATGGGCAGTCCACAACGCCAAACAGTAAAAACCAAAATGGCATCTTTTCTCTTAATTGCTAAATTCTTTGAAACTTGCCTTCTTTAATAGCGCTACACCAAGCATTACTGAATGGACACTTTTCTTAGAGGAAAAGGTTTTAAAATTGTGGTTACCATACAAGTAGACAAACATGCACGATCTAGTACAAATTTTAAGTCCTATCCCATTGTCCTCACGCAAGCCCCTAACTGAAAGCCTTTGAAAAGTAACCTCTTCACGGACACGGAATACCCCGATATGCTAACGTTCAGGATTTCTTTGAGGCATCAATGCCACACGTGAAGACGACAACTGCCTGCCACATGTACGGGCACGAAAAATTACGAATTGCCGCAAGTTAGGGCGGTTAGAAAAGTCAAAATTCTTTCTAAACCTTACTTTCAATTACAAAATAGGAGAAAAAATATCCCTCTCTGAGTAGCTGAACCTTATCTCTGCATTAATTAAATGTTGTACATCGCTTAACATTTCAAAATGGATCCAGTAGCAAATTCAGATCATATCGGTGAAACAAAAGCCTGATGAATTGGCGGCTGAAAGCAGCGGACATGTTCAACAGGACCGTCTGAGGACTTGAGGTGCTTGTTAAGTACGGCGAATATCTGGTCGTTTAGTACTTTGAAGTGACGTGCTCGGCTAACAAGCCGCTTGAGATCCTGAAACGAATGTAAGATAATATTCTTCTTAGCCACGTCTGTTTCTGATACTAGGATGTCAACAGTAAAATGAATGGAACTAATTCTAGCCTCTTCGACGCTAACAAATCGACTGGAACGACGTCGTTCAGCATTTTCAACCAAAATGTGCTGACCAAAAAGCTATGGTGAGCACAAGGAATAATAAACTTTCCGCTAGGCTTCCGTCTGCGTCTCAAAAACATTTGCGCTTTATCTCTCTATTTAAATGTGACCGGTCCAGGGTGGGGAGAGGAAACACAAATTAAATTTGATAAGAACCCTCTTTGAAGCACTTTCCTCTCGACCACGCCCTTGACAAAGGAACTGAAGAAATTTTGCCCCAAATGAATCTGCGCAGGGTACATACCACGCCTCCAATCACTTCGTCCCGCGAATCCACCTCGTAAACTTTGACGATATGATAACAGAAATCCAACGCTTCAAAACGATTTTCTTGTCCTAGCAGAGCAATGAAGGTACATCCGGCCCAGTTGAGGCCTTCACCAAAGCACTGCCTGAAATAAGCGAAGAGAGCAACATGAGGAAAGCCTTGCATAACAGGTTAGTTCATATCACAGTATCATACGAGTGATAACGTGAGCTTAAGAACAGATGGACTGATCTTATTAGCAACTTCAAATTGCTGATAGGGTTTGAAATATTGCCGTGGTTTGTCAGTGGCAATGAGATTTATCAATAGCCAAAGTCGAGCTTTAGAAGAAAGCGTGTAACCAAATCGCGATTGGTTTCAGTTTTGTATTTCATTGGTTGAAAGGCTGGCAGGAGTATTCTAGACCAATCAAAAATTGACGTAAAGCAAACCATTCAAAATACTAGACTTTAAATGATAAGCTGAATTATACACGTCTTTTGGTTGGTTATTGCTGATGATCTATTGGAGGACAGACACAAAAATAAAGTCACCATTAACAGTAGATTGCTTTTTATCAAACAGAGAGAGAGTCAAATAGAAAGTATTGTAAATACAAAGTAACACTTACTCGACAGTGAGTTCATTTTGCCGCAGCGGCTGGCAGTAGTTGAACTGGATGGCACTCCACAGACGGTGAAACTCTCTACACTCGTCAATGTTCATCACTCCATTGGATGGTGGTATCTCTTGCCATATTTCATGAACCAGGAACTTTTTTATCCTTTTCAACACCACCTCAAAGATGGAAAGTCCACAGCAAAGTCTTTCTTTCGTCAACACGTCGCCTTCTTTAGCGTTGACTATTTGCTGCAAAGAGAACAGCCATCCCTCGTCAACGACGCAAATATGAAGGTACAGCTCGAAACAAGTCACACAATGGCGCAATAGCGTTGCGTGACGAGCTTCGTCAAGACCTTAAGATACTAGACCGGGAATATACCTCTTTGGTTCCAAGCTTGGTGATGGTTGACAACACTTGCAAAGAGTTGTACTGTTTTTCGAGTTTCTCCATTTTGGCCTGGAGTTTTTCACCATCTGCCATTGACAAAAAGAAAACAAAGGAAAACTGTCAGACGTAAAAAAGAACAGCTTCCGTTTCGTGCTGCTGTACTGCCTAAATGTTTCTCTTGTTTTTTCTTAAATTCGTGAGTACCCAAGTCTATTCTCTCCTCCAGCTTCTACACATTTCCTTGTAAACTAGTTACAAGATTTGGTGTGAGATAAAGATAACAACTCCCACCTGATAAGGTTGAGTATTCTCATTGCCTGTCTGCTGAATAATGTATGGATATTAAAGGGAGAGGTTACATTTCGTTGCGAGTTTATAAGAAGGGAATGGGGTGAGGCGGACGTAGACGGGATTTTTTAAAAACAGGTACTGTTGATAGTCTACATTAGACCCAAACTGAATCTCAACTGTAATACTATAGAAAAAAAAGGATATTCTCGATAAAAATTAAGTAGTGACAGTTCTTAAATGGAAACAGACTAATCACTAAGTGACAGAGCGCAGTCAGAGAGCTGACTTCAAGGCGATCACCGACAATTAAAAAATGTAGCGAGTGACGAGAGAACTGACACGAAGACAAGACCACTACTTGAATATAAGTCCCAGTGCCCAAACCACTCAGTTTACTCTGTCTGACTTCATAATAAGCTTCAATATTCTAGTCACCAATCAAGTTACCTTTCAGATAAGGCCTGGGGATAATTCCTTGGAATGGAGCTGCGTGTAACAGATCAATAATCTCTTCTTGAGACTAAAAAATTAAATCAAAAAAATTAAGGAACAATTACAAGGAACAAAGTTTTCCAAGTTGTGACCAGTTATGTTACTTACATTGGTGAAGTTCTCACTTCTCAAAATTCAAAAGAGCATTAGCTCGCCAACGACCTATCAAGGCCGCAACGATTACTTGGAACTAAAGTAAGCTTTACTCACAAGGAAGCCCTCAAGTTGTACACAGAACAGTATGGCATTGCCGATCTCTCTGAATCCCTGGAACACATCTGTCCTCAAGTATGGGTACTGCATGATCGGTTCCAGGCTAGCATGATAGTATTCCAGAACACCTTTTGGAGGAAGAAAGAGAAAAAAATTAAACCATACTATAAAAAAGAATAAGTAGAGCAAAACGCCATACCTTTTATTTTGCTCTGAGTTGCCTTGAAATTACCGTACTATTAATACAAGTCTTTAATAGGCCTGAATGCTGTTTTCAAACTAGTTGTTTGCGATGTAGGCTTTTATATTACGATCAGTGTCTGAAGCCCAAAACTAAAGTAATCACTGACAACGACCGATCAGATGATCACACGATCACAACAAAGGATAACATCTTATGGAGCAAATGTCGACCCAGGGTAAATTGATGTAATTGGCCTCATGTGCACAAAAATATAGGCAAGTGGCCAAGTTGGGGATAGCTTTGGCTGTGGGTCTGACTGATTGAGAAGGTTGCCCCGGAGCAAACTAAAACCAGTGAAATCCCAGATTACTTTCGCGATGGAATATTTGCCGAAAACCCATTACAAATGACGAACGACTCCAGCAAGATTTCCCTCCGTCTTTGAGAGTAAGTATATTACCTGTTGATCCGTACTCAAAGCGAGGAAGGCCACATTTCTTTGGCATCCCTTCGATGAGCTGTGCTATGTACAGCTGAAGCTGACCTTGAACCTATGGATCAAAATAACGAATTTTACATTAATAGGACTAAAGTTGTGTTTACAAGCCCTGAGCTGATTTAGGTTACAAAGGTGTTTTACGATGGGCAAAACGTGGCTTTAACGTGCTGTGTTCTGGATCGAAGGCCTGCGTTCGAGCCCTTGTCATGTCAGTGTGTTGTGTCCTTGGAGCAACACACTCGGCATCGACGGAAGACTCATGAAGTGCCATAGGGGAAGAGTGGGAATAACCTTAATTGGACAAGCATCCGCTCAGGAGGAAGGGGAATATGATTAGTCGCTTTCCATGACAGAAATCGTGTTCCGGCTCTAACAGCCATGCGAGTCAGGGATCTATGTAAATTTTTCTTTTTTAGCTAAATCAGGAAAGGGGGAGAGGGGGGAATCGGGTTTAAGGCGAGAAATACAGAATTCGTCGGCAGAAGAAGCATGAGATTACATGGATCGTGACAACTGTTGATAATGTTACCACATCTATCAAAATAAGGTCAATCCAGTCTGTACCAAGATTTTTGACACTCATTTTTAGTGAAATGTAAGATAGTTCTTAAATAGCTTACCACACTCTTGATAATCTTAAGAAGTTCCTCGATCACAACAGCAATTCCTTGATAACCAAGCAAGCGAGACATGCAAGCAAAATGAATATCTCCGACAAAGTTGCTGTACAGTGATCCAATGGCATTGAACACTGAGTTTTGAAGCTGCAAGGAAAACAATATATAAACAAATACATGAACACAAATTGAAGTCAATATCGAGCAGAGCTAACAATTCAGTCATGACAGGATAATTAACCCATTAACTCCCGAGATCTCTTTAGTAATTTTCTTTAACGCCTGCTATACAACTCTCGAGGTGTAAGTTTGGATAACCTGGCATTGGATCAAGTAACAATCTCCTAATTGATAT